GAATGAGATCACACATGAGAATGAGAAGAGCAGTCTAGATGAAACCCTGAGAGGAGGAAATAGATTTAAATAGTGGGCAGAAAAGAAAATCAACTTTGAGTCTCACTTGGAGCTGGTGGAGTGGCTCAAGAGGTAAGAATGCCTGCCTAGCATATGTGAGGCCCTGAGTTCAAACTTCAGTGCCACCAATAAATAAATAAATAAAAATAATAGTGAGCAGAAGAAGAGAAATTTATAAAGGATATCTAGAAGAACCATGTTGAGGGGTGGAAAAAAATTGGAAGTAGTGCTACAGAAAACAAGGAAGAAGGCACTTCTCTGAAGGAGAGGGGCAAGCTGAGATGATAAGAGATATGACCATTGGGTGCAGGAACAAGAAAATCATTGATAACCTTGATGAGAACATTCTCAGTGAAGAGTGAATGGCAGAAGCCAGGCTGCAGAGAGCTGAGAAGTGAGCAGGAGGGTGACAAAGCAGAGAGACATCAAAATTAAATGGCTTGTTTAAGGAGCTTGACTGCAAAAACAATGATCAAGATAAAGAGTAATAGCTGCATAGGGAGGAAGCAGGGTAAGCATTTTGGAAAAGAGTGGGAAATATTTAAAGTCATCACTGGGAAGATGCTTACCAGTGAGAAGCAGCATTGAAAGCCTAATTAAGAGGTGCAGTCATGATCAGGACTCAATTGTACCCACATGAGCAAGAAGAAAACCAGTGTCAGGAAGGGACTTGTTCAGTGTCACGACTGATAACTGAAAGAGTTCATCAAATGTTTATTGGCTCCTGTTCTTCATTGCTTTGCATCACCATTAACATTGTCATATTTGACACTAATGAATAGTATTGACTATCAACCATGTGTCCAATGCTGTGGAGGCACAATAAAAGTTTAATATAGGCTTTTTACCCTCAAATTGCTTATAATTTATTGAAAAGATATTCAACAAATGAATATATATGTCTATATGTATGTATACATGTATATGTGTATATGTCTATATGTATGTAAATATATCTATATGTGTATATATGTACATATATACATATATATATTTCTCTGTATCTTTTCCTCCATCTCCCTTTCCCCTATTTACTACCTCTTCCTCTGATCCCCTTCATCTCAATCTTCTTTCCCAACATGCAGTAGCATGTTGGTAACCTTTACACTACAGTATTACTAACTCATTTAGAAAGTCTATTATATAGTCATATGGAGCCCCTCAAACCTCTTGAGCCCTTTACCATTCATTAAGAAGATATTTTTGAGCACCTGCTCTGAATGAAGCACTATGTAAGGCACAAGAGGTACAGATATATATAAATTACAGTTCCTTCCCTCAAGTAGCTCATGCACCATCGTATATTGACTTGCATTGCTTTCCTGTACATGTGTGTTACCTTCTAAATTAATTCTTCTTGACCTAACCTTTTCTCTAGTTCCTGGTCCCCTTCTCCTATTGGCCTCTGTCGCTTTAAAGTATCTGCATTAGTTTCTCTGCTTTGAGGGCAACAAATGCTATCTAGTTTTTTGGGTATCTTACCTATCCTCATACCTCCCAAGTGTGCTCTCACTTTATCATGTGATCAAAGTCCAATCCCCTTGTTGTGTTTGCCCTTGATCTAATGTCCGCATATGAAGGAGAATATATGATTTTTGGTCTTTTGGGCCAGGCTAACCTCACTCAGAATGATGTTCTCCAGTTCCATCCATTTACTTGCGAATGATAACATTTCATTCTTCTTCATGGCTGCATAAAATTGCATTGTGTATAAATACCACATTTTCTTAATCCATTCGTCAGTAGTGGGGCATCTTGGCTGTTTCCATAACTTGGCTATTACAGGAAAGCAATGCAAGTCAACTCCCTGTATAGCTATCCTTATCTCAACTAGCAAAATCCCTTGGTCCTTCCTATTATTGCTTATACTCTCTCTTCAACAAAATTAGAGGTAAGGGCAAAATAGTTTCTGCCTGGTAGCAAGGGGGTAGGGGGGAGAAGGAGGGGGCAGGAGAGTAAGGGAGGGGGCAGGGGGAAGGGGGGAGAAATGACCCAAACATTGTATGCACATATGAATAAAAGAAAAAAAAATAGCTCATACACAAGCTGAGAACAGTAAGAGTTTTAACAGGAAACTGCAATATAATGCAAAAAGTATACCTCTACCTCAGTTTCCTCATCTACTATAGATCAGGGTTTATTAGTATATATCACAAAGCAGTTGTGATAATTAAATGAGTTAACACATGTAAAGTGCTTATAATGGTTTCATAAGAAGCATGATATAGCTGTGCATGGTGACACAGGCCTACTATCCCACCGATAGGGAGTCTGAGGCAAGAAGATGGAAAGTACAAGACCAGCTATTGTAATTATTATTACTGTGATGATGAAAGTAAATAATTCAAGATACTATAAGAATATAGAAGAAGGGCACTTGACACCAGGATAAAATAAGAGTTATCTGAGCTGAGCCCGAAAGGATGAAAAAGCATTACTTACACAAAAGAAAAAAGAATCCAGGGTATTCCTCAAAGAATAGCTAAAACACTGCATGATATGATTGAGGAGCTGAGAGTAATTTAGTTCCGCAAGAGTATAGAGTATAAGGAGGGGAATGGAAAGAGGTGAAGCTTGAGAGGTCATGGAGTACAAACAAGCTTGAACTTTATCCTTTTAGCCAATTGGGAGCCATTGGAATGTCTTATTTAGAGTAGTGACTTGATGAGATTAATGTGTTCAAAGATTATCTTGGCAACAGTGTGGAGAATGAATTGGAGGAGGCAAGATTGGAAGTAAGACCAGTTAGGAAGCTGTTGCTTCCAGGTGAGACAAAATGATGAAACCCTGTATTAGGAAGTAGCTACAGAGATGGAGAAAAAAAGAGGGAGTCATGGCTTTGAGGTATATTGAAGAGATAGAACTGGTGGGGCATAGTAATTGTAGGATGCAGGGAATAAACAGGGGAAAAATGTCAAGGATCACTCCCAGGATTTGGGGATTTTGGTCTGGTATAAGGGAACACACGAGCCATGCCCCAGTTCTTTTTTGCTTTAGTTATTTTTCAGGTAGGGTCTCACAGTGTTAACTGGGGCCTGGTCTCAGACCAAGATACTCCTACCTACAGCCTCCCACATAGCTGTGACCACAGGCATAGGCCACCATGTCTCACTAACTTTTTTGCCCAGGCTGGCCTCAAATCAAGATCCTCCTGATCACTAGCAGAGTAGCTCAAGCAGTAAAAGCGCCTGCCTAGCAAGTGTGGGGCCCTGAGTTCAAACCCAGTGCCACCAATAAATAAATAAATAAATAAATAAATAAATAAATAAAAATGTTGCCATTTAAAAATGTAAAAACTTCTTGGGGGAGGTGGGATAAAGGAAAATGATGAAGAGAGTGAATTCAAATATAATAGATTGTAAGAACTTTTGTAACTGTCTCAATGCATCCCCAGTACAATAATAATATGATAAAAAATGTAAAAAAAAAATCTCCTGATCGCTGCCTCTCAAGTAGCTAAGACTATAGGTGTAAGCCACAGCCCAGCCCCAACAAGAAATGTTGACTAGAAGATTCCTCTGTCAGTGTTTGAAGATCAGGAGGTTTTATACTGGAAATCCAGATGTGGGAATGCCAGCAGATGGGTAATAGATTAAGCCATGGGGTCTATGGCTATACTATCCTGAATGTGCCCAATCTCATCTGATTTTGGAAGCTAAGCAAGGTGGGGTCAGGTTAGTACTTGGACAGGAGAATAAGCCATGAGGGGTGGGTGTGTTTGCTCAGGGACAGAGTGTTAATTGGCAAAAGAATGGACCTCTAAGGAATACTCCCATTTAAGTAATGGGTGGAGAAAGAGAAATTTTGAAGAAGGTGAAAATGCAACAGGCAGATTGTAGTGGGTTAAAAGATTAGTGAGATGGAGGGTCTTGTAGGAGATGGGGAGAGTGGGTGTACCCTTGATTTTTAGTGTCCTGAACCTTGGAGAAAGTAAGGACTTGCTGAACACTGCAAAATCCTGTACCTTTCTGAGATTTCAAAGGATTGCCTTGGATGCCTGTTGCTTACAGTCTTCTATTCCCTTTTGTCTGTCCATACTGATGTCCCTAACAGATAGCCCAGGGAACTTGAGGCTCCTTCTAGGATCTGAAACAGCTTTTCTCTAGAGCCCTCCTACATCATCTGGGAGGCTGATGATGGGAGCATCTGTTAGGAGATCAGACAGGAAATATCTGGTGTGTTAGAATTGCAGGGAGGGGCACTTGGGCTAGCCTGCAGAGAGGAAGTTGGGCAAGGTTTGGAGGACCGGAACTCTCAGAATGTGAATAGAAAGCTTTGCCACTTGCCCCAATCTGTTTGGGAGCAGATTTTCACCATGGGCAGGATGATCCAGGGCTAGGCCACTAATCTCTAGTCCCTTAGAGATTCAAGGAGTTTCTAACAAGCTGGAATCCAAGGCTACATTCTAGGACCTGTTCCTCCTGATACAGTCCCCTGGAGTTTGGCCTCAGTCTGTGAGTTAGGGGCCATGTGGCCCTGTTGCTTGGCAATATGCTAAACAGCAGGCTTGGTGACTAGCAGTGGCATTAACACAATCACCAAAACTGCTACTGCCATCACTACCTTCTCGGAAAGCAGCCACCTGTCTGGCCTCTGCCTTTGTCTGACTGCCAACCTAAGGCATGCGCCTACGCAGGAGGTGATGACATTTTGGCTCCAGTTTCAAAGTTTTTTTTTTTTTTATTTCTTGTGTGTTATTTCTAAAGATAACAAAGGTCAAAAGGCATCCAGCATTTTCTGGTTTCTCATAAGCTTCTGGTCAATATTTAATCTGGTTTATGGATTCTTTTTTTTAAGGTTTTCTAGATGCCTTTCTGAGCCTTCTTGTGGCCACCCACAGACACTTGTAAGGAGGAGACAAGTCAGCCCGACAGAGACAATTTGAAATGAGGGATTAGAGCCTGGGATCCAAGGAGCAACAGCTGCATTCAGAAGACAAAGTAACAGGCCCTGAAGATACTTCTACTGAGAGGTCTGCCATGGCCTCTCTTGGCGTACAACTTGTGGGCTACATCCTTGGCCTTCTGGGGCTGTTGGGCACATTGGTTGCCATGCTGCTCCCTAGCTGGCGAACAAGTTCTTATGTTGGTGCCAGCATTGTAACAGCAGTCGGCTTCTCCAAGGGCCTCTGGATGGAGTGTGCCACACACAGCACAGGCATCACCCAGTGTGACATCTACAGCACCCTTCTAGGCCTGCCTGCTGACATCCAGGCTGCCCAGGCCATGATGGTGACATCCAGTGCAATCTCCTCCCTGGCCTGCATTATCTCTGTGGTGGGCATGAGATGCACAGTCTTCTGCCAGGAATCCCGAGCCAAAGACAGAGTGGCTATAGTGGGTGGAGTTTTCTTCATCCTTGGAGGCCTCCTAGGCTTCATCCCAGTTGCCTGGAATCTTCATGGGATCCTGCGGGACTTCTACTCACCACTGGTGCCTGACAGCATGAAATTTGAGATTGGAGAGGCTCTTTACTTGGGCATTATTTCCTCCCTGTTCTCCCTGGTAGCTGGATTCATCCTCTGCTTTTCCTGTTCATCCCGGGGAAATCGCACCAACTACTATGATGGCTACCAGGCCCAGCCTTTTGCCACTAGGAGCTCTCCAAGGCCTGGTCAACCAGCTAAAGCCAAGAGTGAGTTCAATTCTTACAGCCTGACAGGGTATGTGTGAAGAACTAGGGGCCAGAGCTGGGGGGTGGCTGGGTCTGTGAAAACTAGTGGACAGTGTCCCCAGAGCCACAGGTGAGGAACATTGCCACTGGATCATGTCAGAAGGTATTGCTGAGAATAGACTGACTTTGGCTTCTGAATCCAGTGAAGGCAGAAATGGGAGCTGGTATGACAGCAGGCAGGTTGAATTGTCAAGGATACTTGCCAAGCCAGCCTTTCTATTTCCCTCACTTTGCCCCTATGCCCTTAAACTCCACTCCACACACACACACACCTTTGGCCAGGCCCCAGAGTCTCTTTCCTGTCCTTTTGGTTGACCTGGGAATCCATCCCCAAACCCACTAATCACATCCCATTGACTGACCCTCTCTGTGATCAAAGATCCTCTCCCTGTAGTTGAGGTTGGCTCTGGAGGACAGGGAGAAGGAACGGTAGCTTTTTTTGAGTATAGCTCTAACCTCCTTCTCAAACCAGCCTCCAAAGAAATGGGTTGGTCAGGCGCTGGAGCTTCCATCCCACTCTTGTTATGATTGCAGAGTGTCCAATCTGGTTTGTGCATGAACTGAAAGAAAGCCACTGCACGATATTCAGGGAATAGAAAGCAACTGGGTGCAGGACTGGAAGGCAGTCTGGGACCAAAAAAAAACCAGACCATTTTCCAGGGCACTTCCCAGAATTTCCTCACACTTGTGGGTCAGGGACTGAGCCTATGGCTAGAGCAAAGCACAAGGAAAGAAGATATGGTTGAAAACTCAAGGCAGCAGCAGACTTGGACTCCACTGAGGAACTGCTTGAGAAGTGCAATTCCAACTTTCACTGAAGCCTCTGCCTCCCTCTGGGGTACCTGGTCTGGCCTCCTGTCTAAACTATAAGGCTGAGGGACCTAGACAATGGTTTCCTTAGGGACAATCAACCAGTTTTTCTAGAACTGGCCCTTAGCTAGGAGATGACAACATGGGAGCTGTGGAGGACTAAAGAAGATACTGCTCCTTGACTCTGGCCAAGAAAAAATAAGAACTTTTGTATCTAAGAAGCTGGGTGGGCATGTGTGATGGCTCCAGTGAGTGTTTCTACTGTTCCAGAAAGAGGCAGTCTCCCACCCCAAGAGTCTTCAGAACTGATGGAAAATCAGTGTGAAAGGCTGAGATCAGGTTCACAGAGCACAACAGAGCCTCTGACAGACCAAAGAACCACATGGGTCCCTTGTTGTTTTTCCCCTCACCATCCATCCAGCCACTCATCAGACGATACCCCTAAGGGGACCCAAGGGCTTCAATGTGGAACATCCATGCCCAAGGTGCTGTGACCATGATCTGAGCAATAGCTGAGATGCTGGTTGAGATTGCAATTGAGGTGGGAGAATAGAAAATTGTTCCCAGGCAGACAGTTCCACCTTGAAGGTCCATTTCCCCTGGAGTAGGAGTAAGAGTCATAAACCAGAGGCATTTTTCCTCAGCAGCCTAATGTGACTAGCTTCTGAAGATATCCAGCACACCTCCCCAAACCTCAGTGACAGCAAAAGGGGCCCATTCACAGAGTCCCTCTAATACACCTTTCACATTTCCACCTTGCCTATGTTCAAGCTGTTCTAACCTGGAAGCCCTTTTCCTTTAGCCAAGTCATCCCTCTGCATGGAGAACTTGCTTAGTATCACCTCCTTCATTGAGCTTTTTCTGACCACTCCATCCCCATCTCACTCCTCCCTTCTTCAACCCTCAATGTATACATTGCTTATTGATGCTTATCATTCATAATTTTTGATTGATAATTTTGTGTTGTGTGTGTGTGTGTGTGTGTGTGCGCGCGCATGCCTATGTGGGATCTCAAAAGCTCATTATAAGCACTGGAAGGGCAGGTGACGTATCTTAGATCTGTCTGTATACCTGTCTGTAATGGTGCTGAGCACATAATAGGTGATCAATAAACACTTGATGATTAACTGTTTCATTGATTAAAAGGGGCCCATACAAAGCACATGTGACTGAAAGGAATTGGGGTAAGAGGAGGGGGGTGGGTAGAAGCTGGCCTTTCTCCACAAAGGGTGGATAGAATATTCCAGATTTTACTGGATACAATTAGAAAGCATGACAATACCCCTCACCAAGGAACCTCTTTGTCTTGACCAGTGCCCCTCCGTTTTCATAATGATCATTTCATTTAAGTTATTTACTAAACGGTTAAGTGTTTATTCCTTTCATTCTTGGAATACCATTATCTGGATGGGGAAATAGATCTGATAATCTCCATTTGTCAGACGGGAACTAAGGCCCACATAAGTAAAGAGATTTTCCTAGAGCCACACAGCTGGTTTTAGTTCCTTGGTCTCTTGACTCACCAATAAGGACCTTGATGATAGGAAGAGCCTGCCAGAGGTTCCCAAGCAGCCTGAAGAAAATAACTTATGGTTAATAAGGTAACATGGGGCATGCAGGTTCTCCTGGACTCCCAAGAGGGAGAGATCTGGGAAAGTAGCAATTCATCGAGTGTACCACCTGGAACTGCCCCCTCTCCCATGCTGGGTCCAGCCAACTATCCCACCAGGGGGATGCCATATTTCCATTTAAGTAAGACATAGCACCTCAGTTCTAATTCTCCTAACTCTGAAGGGCCTATTATTGGCTTCATTGGGAATTAACAAAACCTAATTCAATTAATAAGTCAACACTGATAATAATGGAACCATATGAGATTCAGCTAGGAAGCCTCAGCACGTAGGATCTGGTTACTATACACTACCCTTGCACTTCTGAAGTGGACCTTCTTTGGTGTAGAGGCTAAAACTCTTCAACTAAGCCCATTTAGAGGGAAAGTTAGGGAAACAGAGGAGTCTCTGGAGAGAAGTATAACAAGAAGTCTCATCTCTGGCCTGGCAGCAGGAACCCCAGAGTGCTTGTCTGGGGGTCTTGAAAGATGGGGCTGCCTTGCTGACTCTGCTGTACTGAGTGGGCAGCTGTCTGGTATGGGCTCTGATGACCAACCACCTGGCAGCCAAAGCACTTTAAGATCTAGCAACTTCACTGAATCCTCCAAATATGTCAATAAAGTAGGTTTTTCACAGAAGAAAAAATGGAGGACCAGAGAGGTAAGTAAAATCCCTTGAGTTAAGAATGTCTGTGTCTGGTTATAAACTTAGACACTCTTCCCATAGCAATGTGGGTCTGGGATTCTGGTCTCAGAAGGTACAAGAGGGCCTGTTGCTCTTCAAACTCTTACAGACTCCCTTTCCCTGTCTGCCATTGGAATAGAAGGGCTCATGAGGTAAGTAGGGCACAGAGCTTCCCTTTGTCTTAGGGTGAGGCTGGCCTGGGGGGTTCTTCTTTCCTTTGTTAATCTAAGAAGTTTCAATGGAAGGAATTAGAAGCTCATTCTCAGCTAGAAAAGCCAGGGCAGATCTGACAAATAGCCACTGATCCTTTTGGGCAAGAAAAGTCTTGCTCTAGGTTCCCAGAAATCTTTCTGAGTCTGGGCCTAAGTTGAACTGCTCTCAATGCTCCCCCCCCCCCGCCCCCGCCATTTCCTTTCATCATAAAGTAATTTAGATTAACCAATGACCTAGTGCACAGTGAAGGTCATTGTGCTTAGGTCCCTACTTCATGGCTCTGACCCTTGCACGAGGAGAGGTGTTTCTTCCCTCCTTCATTCCTCTGATAATAGCATGACTCATGTTTTTCTCCTTGAGGCCCTAGTGACACACTGCTAAGTGATCATTAATGGAGGTGAGGAGACCAAAACCAGCTTAGTGGAAAGGTAAGCTCCAATGTTCTGAAGATCTTCATCCAGCCAATCAGCCACTCAACGAGCCATGAAGCCCTCCAGTCAGTCAGACCTCACTAACTGAACTCTTACTCTGTGTCAGGCAATGTGATAAAGGCTGTGAAGATGATAAGGATGAACAATGTAAAGTCTATGCCTTGGAGAAGCTAACAGGTAATCTAGGGGAGAAAAGTGATATACAAAGCAGAATACAGACAGATAGGGAAGAAAGTAACTTTAGAGGTGTCAGGGGCTGAGAAATGTATTTATATAAGTCCCTTTAAATCTCAATCCATATGAGATGAGGATCTCAATATTTGAGCTTGGAAGGGGTAAGGATGATCAGAAGAGACTGCTTCCTGCAGCTGCAGTAGTATGGGAAACTGAGAAAAAGGGTGAAGAGTAGTGCTATGGAGGAAAAAGGGCTAGATCAGACAGCCAAGCTATTACCTGTTTGAGTTTGCATCACAGGACCCCTAAGATACTCTAAGAGAGTAGTGACCCTGCCCTGGGGTTCAGCCTCTCCTCCTCTACATCCTTCCCTTGGGCAGTTCTTTAGAAATTTCTGGGGCAAGTAGAAATTAAAGAAGAGCAAATGAGGCCTTGCAGGGTCAACTGTTCCCTCCCACTCAGCCCTGAGCACACGGACAGGGTATTCTTTCATGTCTGCAACTGCCCACTCTGGGACACAGAGGCTCTAGGCTGGGAAGTCATGTGCTCCTCCTCATCTGGCTGAAACCTGGCCTTTACCCAGCCTGGTCTCCCTGCCCACGCGGCTACTGGCTTTGATGAGAATTTCTGTTATCTCAAGAGGGAAAGGAACCTCAAACAGGAAGTCCAGCAGGTTATCTCTCTCTTATGTTCACTATATGCTATGATGTGATCACTGATAAAAGATTAACAGGCTGTTATACAGTTATACAGAGGTAATAATCTGACCACCCTCTCCTACCCACAGCCCACCACTTTCCTGAATTGCATTCAGAAATTCCTTATTAACTCTTGCCAACAATTCCCTGCTCTAGGCCCCACTGCTCCAGATGGCAAGCAGGAGTGTCTTAGGGCTGGACAAAGCAGGAAACCACCATATAAGCATACATCATCAGGTCCTTCTTTTGGTTTTGCTTGATGGGATTGGGGTTTAAACTCAGGGTTTCATACTCGCAAAGCAGGTGCTGTACCATCAGGTTCTTTTTAGGAGAGACCCACTCCTTTCCTGTCATCCCTAAAGTCTCATTTCTCCAGACCGGCACTCTTACCACTTCACAAGTGACC